GCATTACAGGGTTTAACTAATCTTGGAGTCCAGAGACTGTGATTCCCCAGTTTCAGTGGCTTGTATTTTTCAATTTTGTGGATGTATGTGGAGGACGGCAAAAGAAAAACCAAATCTCTAATCAGAAGTTTGAGAGACCCTCAGGAGAAAAAAAAAAAATTAAGATCAAGTAAAGGATCTTCAAGGACAGTTAAAGAAACATTTGATAGTGGCTGAAGCAGAACATTCTGCCTGAAAGGGTGAAATCTATACACTGGAGTACAAAAAAAAAACCTGTACACTGTACACTGGAGTATGACCAGAATGTGGTGGAGTGCACAAGGGATAATTGTGTGAGTGCTCATGTTTGGTGCACCCAGCTGCACAAGCCAGCAAGTAAAGGACCTGAAAAGCTTTGCGTGAGAGCTGGGACTGTGGGCAGGGATACTGGGCAGGCAGAAGGGCAGTGCCCAGAGCAAGGCCACCCATGAATCAGTGTTTGTGAGCCTAGAGAGGGAGGACATGATGTGCTTTCATCACTGAACATAGAGCTCTACCAGTTAAAGAAGAGATGGAAACTTAGCTGTGTTTACATCTTACATGGGTACCACGAGTGGGTGCAGTTGAAGAGTAGCACCTTGTTCATGGCAATCTGTGTGATTGAACATATCAGCATCCTTGTGTGTCTCTGGCATTTGTGCTCAGCTTTGCTGCTGGGTGAACCTTCAAACCATGGCTGCTGTCATTAGACAAATGCTGCCATCATTCTCGTTCATGAGGGAAGGTGGGCAGGAAAACCCAGAGCCAGCCAGTGTGAGTGTCAGAAGCACAAGAGGTCACTGTAACACGAGCATGCTCGGATAACTCCCACTTCAATGGGATTAATGTTTTGTTACTTCTCCCCATGGAGCTGGAATCCTTCTGTGGATCATAAAAAGATTCTGGCTTTAAGAACGACAGCAGTTTGGGCGCAGGGGACAGGCCAAGTGACAGTTGGAATGCCATCCAAGTTGTGTTTCCCTCACCTCCCCTGAAATTAGGCACTAAAGGCAGAAACATTCCAGGATGAAAGGGGTGCTCTGTGCAGGAAAGGAGCTGAGAGAGCATTCATACCCTCCTTCCACCAGACAGCCAGAGGTAAAGTTCATTCACACAGCAGTAGGAACTTTGCTTGGAATGTGTCAGTTCCTACTGAATATGCTGTAAACTACTCAACTGCCACTCACTGGGACTTCATTTAAGAATGAAGAAGGTAGCAAAGACTGGGGAAACTGAGACACTCCCCAGCTGCTGGGGAGGTGGAACTGCTTCAACTTCTGTGATGTGCCCAGGAATTTCTCCCTAGGAGATATTCCTGAGAAGACAGAGGAGGAAACATAGGAAAACTCTCCAGTTGCTATACTTCACTTTTTCACTTCATTCTACAACTACTCAGGATGCTGGAAGGTCCTACAGTGATCCTGATGAGTAACTTACTCAACTCTGCAAACTGTTGGTGAAGTGTCTTTAAAACACAAGAACAACAGATATTCCTGCCTTTGCTTGTGTGTTCACTCAGTTGCCCACTCCAATAAAGGGAAGAGGATTGCATCTCTATGGCAGGATTGGTTTGATCCAAATTTTAGCCTGGCCTCATCACCTCTTTCTTGTGCATGTATTTTTCAGTTAATTGTCTATTCTCAGTGTACTTGGAATGAGTTAAGAACAGTTAATTACTTTTGTGAAGTCACAGAGCAAATGGTAACACCATTAAAATGCTGCTGTATCTAAAGATACAACTAGTACAAGAAAAAGAAAGTTGAATCACCTTAATTTTGTTTTCCCCCTTTTTTTAATAGTCCACCAGCAGATTCAGTTGCTCTTCTGCTACCTATCCTCTTCTATTGCCATGGCAATAAACTATTCATACTCTGACCTCATCTAAATTGCAATTCAGGTTATTTCCATGACAGCATCTGGTGCCATCACTGGGATTCCCATGTCCATGCTGCAGCTGGGTATTGGTGTAGGTGCTGAGGCACAGGGAGGCCACATGTGGGAAGATGAGCATCAGGGAGTGCTGTGGCCCTGTGGTTTTTGGGGGATCACAGGGAAGCTCACAGGTGTAACTTGAGTGTTTGGGAATGTGTAGGAGGCAGGCTTTAAACCTGGAGTGAGATAGATGTAGAGTGGATGTAAGAGTGACAAAGAACTCACTCGTGTCCAAACTGAGAAGTGACTAAATGCTATGCTAGCCACCTGCAGGGATGTCCCTTGGTGCCTGTCTTTAATATGCATCCCTACATCACTGCAAAGAAGGAATACACTCTAAAATCCTGCAGCAGGGAAGGGAGGCTGATAGACTTCTCTGATTACTTTGTAATAAGACAGTAAATCAGGGAAAGGAGGCCCTCTAGGCTGGGGCTGTCCACAGTACTGACTGGACTGTTGGGGGTGCATCTGCAAGGCTGCCCTTCTGCTTCCCCCACATCTCTCCCCGAGGTCATGACTTTTTTAATGCACTAAATGCCTTTAACCTCTTAGAGGATGTTAAAGCATCTAAAGATTAATCTGCAATATAGTGGTAACAGTGCTTCAAGCCCTTTTTCTCTCCTGGACTCTGCGTTATCAGGCTTCTAGAAAACGGAAAACTTTTGTTCCTGGTCATGTCTACAATTTAATTAATGATGAGATTTTTAAAATTTCATGTTTTACTTATTTGACTTTCATTTCTCCTGAATCTCTACTGTGAGCATGTCTCCCCTAGTCCCTCTCCCTCTTCATGTGCTGTGATACCTGGATACAGCATCATCAAAAGATTTCAGATTCACTGGCAGCATTTAAATTCTAAATATAACTCCAACTTTTCTGTGCAGAGCTCAAAGACTTGCTCCTGTAAATCCGATTAATGCTGGTACTACTTTTATGCTACCGATGCATCAATAAAGTTGTGTTGAAATGCCTGGCTGAAACTGTTTCCTAAAGCACTATAGCATCAATTCTGTTTTACAAATAACAGAGGTTTGGCACAAAGCAGAGAAAATTAGAAAAAAAATATTAAAACTGAAAAGACAACTGAAAAATCAGGCCATTTAAGCTAAGGGACTATCTCAAGCAAATTTTAGAAGGCTGCATTCCAACTTTCTCCATAAGACTTGTGCATATTAGCTTCCCCAGTGTATTCAGTACTTTTGTCTTGCAGAGGTTAGGATAGCTGGGTAGAAGTTGGGTTGGTAGGAGATGGAAGATGGATGTAGGTAGAAGAATTTGCCCAATGCATTTAATGCAGACTACAGAAATGTTTCTGCTCAACTTTGGGGACAGAGATATGTTGGACTGACTGTGGAAGGGATCTTGGCAGCTGAAGGAGACTGGATCAGCTCTGTGTCTCTCTCCAGTGCAGTTGTGTGCCTGTGTTTGCTGTCTTAGTGTTTATGTCCTGAGTGAAAAAATAAAGGGAGATTGTAAACAAAAGCTTGTGGTAAGTAGGAATTGCAGTCTTAAAGGAATGAGGGCCAAACACCCTCATTGCCCCGGGGCAGCCAGTGATTCTTTCTCAAACTCTCTATTTCAGAGCACCTAATTCAGGCCAGATAAGAAATCAGGATTGAAAGGATAGCTTCACCTCTGGTCAAGTGCAGGCAGTGACTGTGTCTGGAGCTGAGGTTTCTCTGTCTGGGGCTGCTTCAAGTGCTTCCTCACACATCCCTTCTTTGGGATGAAGACAATATATTACACAGGATCACATGGAGCTATGCTAATTAATTTTTATAGCACACCAAATATAACCACTGAAATGGCATTTAAAATTCCGGGAGCTAAGCCTGGCTATGTTCCCCACTCCAGCTGTGTCTGTGTGCAGCTTGGCTCGTGCTCTGCTGTGCCCCAGAAGCCCTATGCTGAGAGAGCCCCCCGGGTGCAAGTCCCCAAGCTCTCTACAGTGCAGCAGAGCCCATCCTGTCCCTTCCCTCAATGTGCAGTGTCACCCAGGCTGGAATCAGCTACTCAACAAGCAGCTCTGCAGTAACACATGCTGTATAGGATTTTGTCCATACAAAGGCTGAAGATTTATCCATCTCTCTGCACCAGCAGGCATGACACTCTGCAAAGTGAACACCTGGGCCCCTAGGATCCTCCAGCCCCTTCCGAGCCCCCTTTTCATTGCAATTTTGTCATGTATCCACATGGAAGGAAGGCAGGAGAAAACCCTTTAAAAACCCTAGATGAAACCACAGACGGGGGGATCACCCAGCACCTCTGCAGGAGGCAAGGGTCAGGTGTCTTCCTTTGGTCCCATCCTGGGCAGGTTAGCATAGGCGTGGTCATGGAGCCACGAAAACCCCGGCAGGAGCCCAGTGTTCTGCTAAGCACCTGACAGGAAGCCCCAGGGTAGGGTAAAAGCACCTCAGCTGTACCCGTGAAGTCTGCAGTGAGTAAGACTGCGTCTGTCCAGGTCACTGGAGTTCCAGCGGTGTTTTCTGCCTTTCCATATTCAAACCACATCCCTGCAACCCCCGAAGACACTGTGTGGGAGCCATGCGGAGCCCTCCCCTCCGGCAGCAGGCGGTCCGTGGGGAGCAGCGCTCCCGCACCCCGGCCTCCTGCTCCGGGGAGAGGCAGGAGCCACGAGCCTGCGGCCGGCCCAGGGCTCGGAGGGGCGGAGGGCAGAGCCGGCGGTGGGGAAGGTGGGTCCGGGAGGCCGGACCACCCATCACCCCCTCCCTCCCCTACCCCACCGTGGGGAGGGGCGGCCCGGCCGCTCCGTGAGTAGCCGTGGCTCCGCCCCGGGGTAGCCGTGCCGGTCGGGGCAACACCCCCGCCCACCCCCGGGGCCGTGTGACCCCAGGGCGGCCGCCACCGCCCGTGCCCACCCTCCCCGCCCCGCTGCTCGGGCCGATATAGCCGCGGGGGGCGGGCGGGGCCGGCCGCTCGCCCCGACGGCGAAGGGCAGCTCCGTGCCTCCGTCCCGCCCCGCAGAGGGACCCCGCGCCGGCAGCACCCAGGCGTCTGCCCCCCTGCTTCCCGGCCTGGCTCTTCCCGACATGGCTCTCTCCCTGGCTGGCGAGTCGGTCCCCGGAGACGGCGGAGACTCGCTCGGCATGAGCCCCGCCGGCCTCGCCTCCTACTACCCCTCTTTCCTCCCACCCGCCCATTACTTCGAGACGGCCCCCAACTTCTTCCAGCCCCTGAAACCCCTGGGCGGGCTGGTTTCCTCCTCGTCGCCTCTGCCTCCCTTCACCTTCAGCAGGGTCCCCGCTTTTGTGAGCGAGCCGCCCCCACTGCACACCGGCCCTTTCCCCCCCAGCCTTCCTTTGCCCGTCTACACCAGGCTGCCGTCCCCCTTCCCTCCCAGTGAGGGCTCGGCCCTCGGGACGGGGGCCCCGAAGTCGCTCTCGCCTCCCTACCCGAGCCCCCCGCACAGGGCTGCCCGCAGCCCGGGGGCAGACGGGGCGGTGGGGCAGAGCCACAGGTACCACTTCACCGAGGAGGAGCTCAACGCGGTGCTGTACGGGGCACTCCGGAGCAGCCAGCCCACCGGGAACCTCCACGCCATCTCGGGGCTCCGGGTGTCCCCCGCCAGCTCGGGTAAGGGGGTATTGGACGGAGGCGAGAGAGGCACAGGGTGACCCTGGGCGGCAGCTCGCTCCTTGCAGCCAGGTGTGCGGGAGGGTTCACGGACAGTCCCAAAAGGGGTGCAGGCAGCCTGGCTCAAGGTGCATCGCCGGAGGCACGTCGGACTTATTTTCCCGGTGGTGTTCTTGCGTTACGAGCCCACACCTGGAAAAAGCCGGGGGTGATTCGGGCTGCGGCCTTTGTCGGGGAGGCAGGACCCGCTCCTGCAGGGCTGGTGCCGTGCTGAAGAAGGGGTTTCTCTTCTGCAGGCGCTGCGGACTCCGCCGCCCCGCTGCTCGACCGGGACTCGCTGCAGCTACCCGAAGGTAGGTGTCCGGGGCGGCCGCGCTGTGCCCGCCCGCGCCGCGCCGCGCTCAGCCCCCTGTCACCCGCAGGGCTCTCCGTGCTGCGGGTGGCCTACGGGGACGTGTCTCAGCTCGGAGTCTTCTGTACGGACCCCATCCCGAAAGGAGTCCGCTTCGGCCCTTTCCAAGGCAAAGTGGTCAACACGAGCGAGATCAAGACTTACGACGACAACTCGCTGATGTGGGAGGTAGCGGAGGCGCCGTCGGGCTCACCCCGCACCCCCAGCGCGGGGCCGGGGCGAGGTTTTCGGCGTCCCCTCTACTGTAGCCTGCAAGAGGGGCTCGGCCCGGTGTGGGTGGTGGGACTGTTGAAAGCGGGACGTGTGCGGAAGGTCAAACCTGATCCTTTTTTCTCTGCTCTCCAGATCTTTGAATACGGTGGTCTGAGCCACTTTATCGACGGGAAGGGCTCCACTGGCAACTGGATGTCCCTGGTGAACTGTGCTAGGTTCCCCGAGGAGCAGAATTTGACGGCTATCCAGTGCCAGGGACAAATCTTCTACGAGACCTGCAAGGAAATCTTCCCGAACCAGGAGCTGCTGGTGTGGTACGGCGATTGCTACGTGCAATTTCTGGGCATCCCAATCAGCTTGAAGGGCATGGCAGAGGGAAAGAAACCCCCACAGCACCCCGAAGGTGAGCCTGCCGGCAACCCCTTGAGCGACACTGCCCCTTATTCCCACGGACGTGTGCCTGGCCTGGATTAGATTCACGCGAGGGGAGGTAAAGGCACCACCTTTGTCCAGCTGTTTTACTTTAAAAGCTTCCTAGACCCTGCGATGAGGCGGTGGTGGGTGACCGGTCCTGCCGCGGGGGCGGCGGTCCCGCAGCCCCAGTCCCTCGGATCTGCCCGGCCGCCCCTCCCTGCGGCATCCAGCACCCCGAAACAGCAGCTTCCCCTCGGCGCCGGCAATCCGGGGGGCTGCACCGAGGGCTGCCGGCAGCGCGGAGCAAGAGGCTCCCCTTTCTTTCTTCCGCCGGCAGTCCGCTCCCAGTCCGCGGTTCCTCGGGGAGTTTAAAGCGTTGTTTGCTCTGACGATTGTAAAACATCTGGTGGTCCTGCGCTGAACTTGTCTCGGCCCCGCAGCGCCGTTGTTCAGGGTCCCGTTTTGGGAGGAGATGGAAGGTTTTCAGGGTTATTCCAGCTTTGGTCCTGTTTCATTTTAGGATTGCATAGCTGACTTTCGTATAATTAACGCTCTCAGTAAATGAGGCAGGCTGAAGTCGTTCCGATCACGTAATGCCAATATTGCTTGCAAAAGAAATGTCAAATGCACTTATGCCAGGGTGAGGGGAGAGGGAGGGTAGTTCTACCTGTAATGTATAGAAAGTGTGATGTTCTTATAATCAAAATTTATGTATGGGGAAAACAGGTTTGTGCCAGTGCGGGAAAAGCTGGGAAGGAATGAGTCGGCAGGGTGCAGCAGAAAGGGAGAGAAGCAAATTCGCATGAAAATTTGGCATGGAAAATTTTGTACCTCTTCTCTTGAAATGTCTAATTCAGACAGATGCTGAATTGTTAATTTCATCTTAAGGCTTAAGCTAAAACTGCTTTTATTAAAGACAGAAAAGAATGTATAAACGCCTGAAAATTTTCTGGTGTTTTTCCTAAATTCAGTGGTAAAAAACTAATTGAAATTAAAAAAAAAAGTCAAATAAATATGCTATTTTGTTTGATAGTTATTTAAAAACAATCGAAAAGATGTGCAAAATTATTTTTCCTTTTGGGATGGTAGGTAAAATTTGCGGACAATTCTTGATAAGAAATATCTCACAATAGTTCCGTTTGGGGAGAAGTTTTTATGTGGGACTCCGAGTTGTTTTTTCACATGATTTCTTGCTATTTATGGATATGCAAGGATGAAATCCTATTTTTGGTGAAGTTGGTAGCTAAACAAAGTCATTTTAGTGGACTGTGTGTTCTAGTTTGTTCCCCTCCTTTAAAAAGGCAAGGGGAGCACTGGGAACGCTCAGGAGACGCGGCACACGTATTTTGTTAATGATATTGCCAGCATCAGTCAGAGACTTAAAATTCCCCGTAGGGGTCCCGGCTCCGGCAAGGATACAGATCTAATCTGAGTCCCTTTTGCCGTGGTGTAACGGAGGGGTGGCACTTTCCCTTCTGCTGTACAGAAGCCGGGGAGAGCTTCAAGTGTGAGCGCTGCGGCAAAGTTTTTGCCTACAAGTACTACCGGGACAAGCACCTCAAGTACACCCGCTGCGTGGACCAGGGGGACCGCAAATTTCCTTGTCACCTTTGTGACCGATCCTTTGAAAAAAGAGACAGGCTGAGGATCCATATTCTCCACGTTCACGAAAAGCACAGACCTCACAAGGTGAGCCTGCTCCCGAGACTCTCCGTAGGCATTGGCTCTTCTGAGGGTACTTAATATTAAGTCTTTTTTTGGTCCAGAGAAGATGCTGATGACCTTCCTCCTCTTCCAGTTTCCCTGGCAGTTTCCTGGTGGGACTGCTCAGGAAGAGCTTGTCATGTGCAGCACAGCTTGGTTAAAGAAATTTAGGGAAAATAAACCCCACTGCCACAGCGAGAGTTTAAAAAGAAACAAATTTTCTCCTGGGCTTTTTGGATCACTGCATATGAGTGCCGCTTCTTTTCTTACACGGTGTGTGCGTTAACTTGTGCTTAAAGGTTCTTGGCTTGTCCAGGATCAGGGGAGAGATGTCCGATGTGTGTTTCCCACACCCCACCCTTCGGTCCCCACCGCAGCTTTTTATCTGTGTCTGTTGGACAAAACAGAGCTTAAAAGTTTTACATTCACATTCAGTATGAAGCAGATTTTCAACTGATGAAAGCAAATCTTTAAAATGCATTACTCATCTCCACCAAACACCTTGCTTTTCTGGCACTAGTTTTCTCCAGCAGCAGTGGGAATGGAAAATCAGGCTTTTTCTAAAAGCTTGGGAGGGGCAAGTTCTAGTGCTTGAAATGTCACAGTTAAATCAGTCCTCAGAATTCTCCAAATATCTATTTTATAGATCATCCTACAATGTGTATTTTTTTGAGGGAAAAAAATATTTTGTAACTAAAACGGCACTATTACAATGTCAGAATATCTGCATGGAATTAGTAACAGATTAAAAAAAATATTCTATTAAATACCATATAATTCCTTTTCCTTTCCCTTTCCTCGGTAAATTTCAAATTATTTTATTCTTTAGGTAGTTTGTCTTTTAGAGAAAAAATTAAAACTGGACTTGATTTATATATTTATTTTTTAACGATTTTACGTAAATTTTCATTTTTTATTACTGAAAATCAACATTATCTGTTCTGTAAAATAAAATTTTTTTATTGAAACAGTTTTAACACAAATTATTTTAAATTTTGCATGGTTTTAATATATATATATATATGTACATATGCAGGTAAAGCTGTTCTTAAAACCAGACTAACCTTCTGGGTATTTCAATTTATTGCAGCTTAAAATTACTATTGTGTTTACACATGAATACATAAATATATGCATATATCTAGATTATATGTAAGAAATGTTCACATCATCCACATCCTTAATTTTTGCTTTTAACTACGCAGTTACATGCTTCCTTTTAACTTTATTATTTTTTCCGCCCCTCCCAGTGCTCTGTGTGTGGGAAGAGCTTTTCTCAGTCCTCAAGCCTAAACAAACACATGAGGGTTCACTCTGGAGAGCGCCCCTACAAATGCGTCTACTGCAACAAGGTGAGGCAAAGCCCTGCCCCATCCCTCCCTCTGCTGTGCTTTGTTTCTTTGTTTTCTCTCAAGAAAATGCTTTGTGTTTAACTGGTAGCCAGATGAGTGGGTGTGTATTCTGGGCAGTTGTGAGGTAAGGTGACAGGGCTGGATGAGGCTGAAGAAATAGGGTCATGGAATTTGTGGTTCATCCCAGCTCAGTGATCTGCAGAAATAAGTTCTAGGGAAGCTTGAGCATTTCAAAGCATGCAGCTAGATCCAATATCCCACTTTTTCATCAGACAGATTATTTTTGGTGTTATTGGCACTGCTTCTGTACTGCAATAAACAGATTTGGTCTATGAACCTGCACAATATGAATTTGTGCATGCTTACCTTGAAATATCAGGGCTGTTGATGGGCAGACAGGCATGGAGGTTTCACTTTAAAAAACACAAGGAGAACCATACAGCCCCGATCAGAGATGTGCCCTGCTGTTACTGCCCATCACAGCAGGGATGATTCAGGTGAGCTCTCCCCGTGAAAGTGCTCACAGCTCTTGCAGCAGACAGCATGTGGACACACAGGATGAATATTGGTAGGTGCTGTGGAGCATCCATGCAATGCAGGAGCCCCATCAGCTGCTCCTGATTTTGTAGAGAGAAGTTTTGTTTATGACTGGCTGGACTAACACAAAGCTGAGGTGTCCTGCTGTAAAGAATCTTAGAGGAAACTCCTTTTGGCTATTATATTTTTTTTGTCTCCTCATGATCATGCTGAACAGAGATTAGGATGAAACAATCCTTAATCTTCAAATCACAAGAGGAGGTGGCAGAGCTTTACAGTTTGTTCTGTAAAGAGATCTCTAAGGACATTTGACCAGTCCCCAGCCCATTCTAGTTGGGCTGTTGTGGATTGGATGAGATTCAGCTATTAGTCCTCAGGCTGCAGGATGCAGCTATCCTAGGACATAGCCATAATCTCTCAGGCTGGAAAACCAGAGTCTGTTTTAATAAATCCTCACTGGCTCCTCCTATGCAATTACAATTCTTCTTTTCCTCTTCTCCCTCTAACAGTGGCTTTGCTTTTCCAGCTCCTTTGCTGGAAATCAGTGGTCACTTATTTCAGAGCATTGTGAGATTAAAGGAACAGTGCTAGGTCAACATCACCATTCTCTCCCCAAGACATATATTCGCCCTTGATATATACCTCCAAGGACTTATGTAGAGGAGTCTGTGATCTTTTTGTGCTCTAAGGTTCCCAGTGAAAGGGTATCTAAGATTTATTGTTTGCTGTGAAAAATTACTACGGAGTATTTATTTTATGTGGTCTGCAAATACTGAAGGGCCTGAAATTGCCTCTCTTTGGAAAAGAAAAAATGGGGGAAACATAGGCAAGTTTACAACATTCTTGTTCAAATTTTAATGAGTGAGTTTTATCTCCTAATGAAGAAGTCTTTATGACTTTGCTACTCAAAAGTGTTAGTGGCGGGGGAACAGGCTAGAAACTCTGCCTGCAGAAAGAAAAGGGTATTATGGAGCAGGGAAAATGAACCTGTTAAAACAAAAACTGGAAGAAAAACCTGCATTATGTTTCCTACTCATAAAGGAGCTGCAAAGCTAATTAGGCTAGTATTGACTTATTCCTTCTGACGTATAGAAGATATTTACTGGTGTCTTTGCTCAGAAATCTTTCTCTGAGCTTCATCCATCTCCATGGACTCAGCCACATCTGTATAGCAATAGCTGTTAGCTTCTGATTCCTCCTTGCTGGGAGTTTTCATTATTTTTTTCCATTTACTTGAGGAGTGGAAACGTGAACTATTTCAGGACCTAATTTTCAGGGTAACTTGCTTCTGATGGGGTCTGGGTTAGCTGAAGGTGGGGATTGCATGTGTGAAAGCAAATAGCCTGCAATTCCATCTCCTCTCCGATGATCCCTGCCCTTTCAGGCATTCACAGCATCCAGCATCCTGCGCACTCACATCCGCCAGCACTCGGGGGAGAAGCCCTTCAAGTGCAAGCACTGCGGCAAAGCCTTCGCCTCACACGCCGCCCACGACAGCCACGTGCGGCGCACGCACAGCAAGGACAAGGGCTGCGCCTGCTCCGTGTGCGGCCAGCACTTCCCCGAGCAGGAGGATTGCAACTTCCACATGAAGGTTCATGCTGCTCATTAGGCAGGAAGCCCACGGACGAGTCCCGGACCAGCTCATGTGTGTTTCGGTCTGTGTGTATCTGTTTGTGCGTGGCTGTGTGCGCGGCGCAGGAGGTGACACCTGCAGTGGCTCTTGGGGTAGGTCTGGTCTCTGGACCCGGAGCACATGGCTGAGCACAGGGAGCAGGGTCTACCCTGATGCTACTCTCCTTCTCCTCCCATACTCTGTCTTAAGGCAGGAGGGAATTCTACCTCCCCAAAGCCCTTTGTACACAAATATCACTGTGAGGAGTTTTTCTGCATCTCCAATGCCTGTGGACTGCCTGGTACAGTTTGTATCAAAGCTTATGTAAGGTATATTTTTATCAGGTGCATTTCTTAAAGCTGATTTAACCTGTTCATATTATTTGGATAGATGGCCACAGGTATATGGTCTACTTACCCTTAGCCTGTCTTTTAGTGATGTTCTATTTAAATGTGAACTTCCTCATAGATACTGGCTGATGGAGCAACAAAGTGCTATTTTAAATCATTTAGCTACTGGGAGACTTAAGAGCTCCAGGACTGTGAGAGCAACTCTTCCAGAGGGTGCTGGATGCTGGTTAGCCCAGAAGGAGAGAAGTGGGGTGTGGTAAGATATATGCAGGCCTGATATCCCAGCTAGCAGAGATAGTGGGGGTTGGTTTTGTATTCTCAAGAGTTTGGAAGACCAAACATGGTGATATTCCTAAGCATCAGTAAGCTATTGGGTGGATAATGAGCAGTCCAGTGGCCTCACAGAGGTGTTTCATTGTAGACTCTGAGCAGGCCGGGGCAAACACAATCCCAGCAGTGGGCTCTTCTTTCTGAAATTCCCTGAACCTGCCTGGTCCTGGCCAGGTGAATATTTTCAGTCAACCCTGATATGAAGGGTGGGCTCGACTGCTTCTTCCTGGCTTTATGTTGGATAACTGTAAAATGATATCAGGACTACTCCTCAGTGCCTAAAACTCTGCACATGAAATTCCTTCCCCAGTCTGCAGGAAAGGCTTTGCTTCCACAGGAGGACTGGAAGGTGTCATCCTCCATGTTTCACTGACCACACAGGCAAGGCAGGAGTGTGGCCAGTGAGACATTATCAATTCTTTAAAAAGTTGCATTGCATATCAATGTGAAATCTTAACTAGGAGGCTTAACAAAGAGCCTGTGCTGAAGGACTGCTGAGGATAGGGAGTGCTGTAATTGGTATAGAAGTTTTAGTTATCACTGAGTGACCACCAGGCCTGGCAGGGGGCTGTGAGAGGGCTCACTGTGCCAGTGGGGAGTGAAGGTTGCATCAAGGGAGGTCAAGCTGAGCCACCTTTTTGGAAATCCTTTTTGGAGCTAGGTGATAAACACATGTAGTTTGGTATTACTGGGATGATAAAATTCTCTTCAAAGTATCCTAGATCAGCTGGGATTAACAAGAATTTTGTACATAAAGTAGAAGAAAGTAAAGTTTTTATTTTGTACCAACTTAAAAGTTCTCTTTAAATATAGCATAAAAATAGAAATTTTTACTTGTACATTTAATTATATTGTGCAGATACTGTATCCTTAAATATATTGATTTGCACTAATTTTCATAAGTTTGTTTTGTACCTTCAGTTGCTCTGTTCTCGTTTTCATGGTGAAAATATTTTTTAGTTATTTATTAAATAACTTACCGATAAACAAAATATTGATGCCCAGCACCAGGCAGTATGTGAAATAATCAAATCCATTTGTATTATATGTTTATTCATGTAGGTTTTAGGGTAGGCTCTGATTTTTTTTTTTATTTTAATACCAAATATTACTATAATAGAGCAGACTAAAATTTTACATCTTGAGGGCTGAATCCCTGGCCCTTAAAATTCACTCCTGAGCAGAAAACTAACACAGAACTTATGTACAAACAATGCTGGGAAACAGGTAGAACTGAACCTTTCTTCCAGCTGCCTGCTGTCTAGGAGGATAGATACAAACATACAAAATCCTGGCTGACAGAAACAAGAATTATGTGTGCAAAGCCTTTGCTAGTTCAGTCCCTTAAAAAAAATTCAGGATTTGGTGAAATAAACTGCCTACTAATGAAGAAAATGTTATGACTAGGAATGGCTTTGAAGTATGTGAAATGACTGGTTAGCTTCCCATGCAGGTAACCTCCTTTTTTTTTTTTTCTCTGAATTAAGGTTGTATGTTTAAATGGTGCCTCTGTAGTGCTCTTGTATGTGTTTTCTTCTTCTTGAAGAAACCCCAAATGTCTTGTGCTAAATTATTTGCACCTTTCTATAGTGTTTGATGTGTTGTCTGTAAAGGAGTATGTTATACTTAAAGGGTTATACTTGTACTTGTTATTGAAGGTACTGGCTGTCTTGCACATTAAAACCATATATGCAAATTTTGAAGCTAATTATTGTGCATAAAACCACGCTATGAAAAAACAGTGTCCATAAAGGAGACAGAGGAGTCCTGCAACTTTATTTGAATGAAGGGAGGGAAAGCCCACTGGAGTTTTGGAAAGCTTAGCTTCCTTTTATCCTCAGCTCCTGGCCCCATGTTGCCCTCTTCCTTTCCCCACTGGCTGAGGTACAGCCTTCCCAAACTGCCTTGAACATTTGCCTTTTTCTCCCAAAGTTCAAAATTTAAAACGATCTAGGTTTTGCAACAGGCTTTGCTTACCCATTTTTCTATTACTATAAAGTTCAGGAGTTTAGGCTATAGTCAAACTGTCTGGGCTTTGTTACAAACTTTCAGCTTGAGGTTGGTAGAGACATTAAGACCCATTTCAAAGACATTAACAGCCGTTTGTCCTAAAGACCCTAGCCCATCGAGTTGTTTGTAAAGACATTAGCACCCACCTTTCCTATTTTTAATCTTCCATAATAAAAATAAATTATTGGAGGCTGCAGTGTACACTAATGGGCTATGGCTTGTTTTCTGCTAGATGCAGAGTTGTATTTGAGGTACTAGCAAATGGATGAGGGGTGTTTTCTGTGTCATTTGTAAGTCGTTTACAGAGTCAAACTGTCTCTTATTGTGAATTCTAGTCTTTGTCCTGCTGGGTAGCAGCTGACTGCACAAGAAGTCAAAGGCATGCAGTGTCTTAATGGATTTGGTCTTAAGTACCCCAACAGTTCATGAAAGCTGAGGCCTTTCAGTTCTGGATTGAGTTCATTCCCACTTGCAAGCAAGATGATGGATCCAGATTGAGCACTAAAAAAAGGAATTAAACTACCTTATAGCATTTAACTATGCTATAGAGTCGTCCTCTCCCTTTTGAATAGCGAGACCCAGCTGTGCTGAGGACTGTGAGGATGGCACTTGGCTCTGCACACTTCACAGCAGGGTGGGGAGAAATGTATCAGGAGGGAGGTCAGGCTGAGCCACCCACAAGACCATGCAGATTTTAGTTTCCTGAAACAAAAATGCACTGATTGTCAGAGAAAACAGATTGCTGTTCTTGCCAGATGGGGGTTAGGAGAGATTAGGGAATCCTCCTGTAGTGTACCTGTACCCTGTGTGTGTCTTGTGAGCTGAGGTTTTCCTCCCCTACAATTTGCACATTCACTTGCACTTTTTGTGGCTGTGCTCTCAGCAGCTGAGTGAATGTGTAGCTCAGCCAGCAGTGGGGTTTTGGATATTTATACACACAGCTAAGGGGGGAGACTGAGGGAGCTTGTGTGCATGCTGCACTTTTCTATCTGTCAGGTGCCCAGAATGACTGCATGGCACAGAGAGACATGTGCATGAAGGAGGCTGCACTACAAGTTCAGCAGAAAAGAGAATATTTGTGACCATGTGTAAAGGCTCAGTCCTTGTGGTGCTGGGCAGCCCCGGCTGCCAGGTCTGTGCTGAGCAGACACCGTGGTGCTCCATGCTCCTGCAGCTCTCAGGGGGCTGGGCTGTGACTTTGCATGCTGTACTAAATCCATCTCTTCTGTTTCTTGACATCTGCAAGATGCAATATAGGAGAGAAGTGTTATTTTCCATGACAGTAACTACAGTAATACACTATGTGCTATAGGTACCCATGTTTCTTGCTCAGTTTTGCTTAAACTGGCTGTAGAGTGATGTCCACTTTGTCAGTGCTTTCAGTAAGGCAAAGGAGGTGCGTGCACCCTGGCTCTTCTTCCTTTAACTAGGATTAAAAACAGTCCTCCCAAGGGGAGCAGCAAGACAAAGTCCCTGGGACTAATCAGTCCTGTAAGACACTAGCTGGTTTTAAGTGTTCTGCATTAACTCTGTCAGAGTTTTTTAAATGTTAATAGAAAGTGATCTAAATAGAAACCAGAGTATGAGGGCAATCAACTGTTTTGTTGGAACAGAGGGGTGCAGGGAGAGAGACAGTGTGAGGCTAACTCCTGAGTAAATGACAATGGGGAGACAAAAAAAAAGGTGGTCCCAGAGCTCAGGCTTGCAAGTGTGAGAACAAAAGGCCTGGCCATAGACATCTGCTGCCTCTAGCATCTTCTGCATATCCCTGTTCTTCAAACACCTGGTCCCCAGCCCCTGCTGTCCCAGTCCCTGTCCTGCTGCTCACTGTGGAAAACAGGGTTAAGCACTGAAGGAAGGTGAAAAGCAGCAAGGAACTTAGTGAATTGAAGATAATGTCGCAAACAAATATTGGTCAGTGCCAAACTGTCCATTAAACAAGAGAGATCATTCACCAGAGGAGCCCTGACTGGCTGTCCCCTTCTGAAGAAAGCCATTCCTTGGGTCCCCAGTCTCCTACAGGCCTTTGCAGCGAGTGCTGGTGTTTGTTTTACCCCTACAGACACAGGCACCATCACCATTCCCTTTCTCTCCTGATACACATGCCCTTGCACTCTGTCTCTCTCTAACACACCTAGTGCAGGGCCTTAGGCACATGAGAGGTGTGAGGCTCTGTTTTTGCCCTCTTCTTTTGTTCTTTTTCAACCTTAGGTGAAACATGTCCAGACTTTCATTCTATGCTTTTATGGTGTTTGACTCAAGCTTCAAAGAGGGTTCATCTCTACCAGTGAGCACCTTTTCTAAAAA